TGAGGCTGCTGAGAGGGAGAGTGTGTGTGAAGAGCACCCACGCCTTCGTCTTCTCCAGATGCACCCATGGCAAAGCTGACAGCGTCCTGCAGACCTATGATCTCTACGCCAACACACACCCCTCGCTCTGCATCAGCCCACACATGAGTCAGTATGCTGACAAATTATTTTATTTGGCAGTGCATTAAGCTACAAGGCAATGTCTTTATAAATCTGGGCAGAGAATTTCTATTAAAATCGAACAGATCATTACTTTAAAAACACTTTTGAAAGTCTTTGTAACTTTCAAAATTAACTGTAACACTTGACTGTCTCACCCTATTTGTTTTCTATATCACCATACATCTATTTCAATATCTATGTCATACGTTCTTCACATTATATTTACAATACACCACTCAAATGGATAGTTCAGATGTTTTTAAATGTGGTTGTGTGAGGTCTTATCCATAATCAGTGCATTATCTTAAGTAGATGACAGTAAGCATGGACCAGTTTCGAGAAGCAGACAGATGCTACAGTGTATGGCACAGGAATAAAAGAAGTACAGCTATGGAAAGGGGTAACATACTTAGGACACCTAAAAGAAGCCCCACCCAAATCAATATCAGTTTGAAAGTGTGCTGTATTTAGAATATGCTTGGCTTTAGCAATCAGAATCAGAAACTGGTTTATTACCAGGTAGGTTGACACGTACGAGGAATTTGACTTGGTGTCGTGGTGCATACATAAAAGTTAAAAAAACTAAAAAAACAAACACAGATAGCGAATAATTTTAAGAACACTATATTAAAAAAATTTTTAAAAAGTATTTACATTGAAATAGAATGGAATACAATTTAAAATATGTGCAGCAAAAACACCGCACATATTTATTGTATTCCATTCTATTTCAATGTAAATACTTTTTAAAAATTTTTTTAATATAGTGTTCTTAAANAGGAGGCAGGTAAAAAATGAGCAAGCGTTTATTAAAAGTAAATCACAGCATTGCGACAGGTGATTTCCACCCACATAACATATTGCCAGGTGCATTACCAAGTTGATGTTTTACTACTAAATACTTAAACACTGCATTAAATATCTCAAACAACTTTAAAAGGTCAAAAAAGGTGCAGACTTCCAGCATCTTACAAGCATACCGTATAAAAAAACACTTCGGATGTTTGCACTTAAGGCTGCGTTTGGGCACTGTCACCTGTGGTGAATAATTAACCAAAGCACTTAACAAAAGAAGAATAGCAAACAGAAACATAGCCTCAGCATAGTCAGAGTATCTTTAAGAGGTATAGGTTGACTCAATTGCTCATCTCTCATGAAACAATTTGTATAACAAGACAGCCTGGGGCAAGTCAGATAGCATGCTAATTTCAGTAGACTCTCAAACACAAAACATAGACCTCTTTGACCTCAAATTGATTCCTCTTCACATTCTGTTGATACCGCTGATTCATGTTTTGAATGTTTGAAACTCAATTTTTTACACATTGCAACTCTAAGTGTCACACAGAGTCATTGACGGACGGTATAACATGTATATGAGTAAAAATGTCTGCATAACTTTGACGCTCACAGCCAATGTAGATGTTCATATCCGTTCCTAGCAGTGCCATGTGGGGCATCGGGGTATGAAGGCTGGACCGTTGTGCAGAGGGCCCAAGGGCAATGGAGTGTTGCTCCTTTTCAGAGTATGATTTATAATTGAAAGCTGTGTTTACATCAGCTCTCCTGCGTCCGTAGCACAGAGAGCAGTTCAAAGCCTGATGAAGGGGGATACCCGAAATTGAACCCATTAAAGAAGGAATTTTTGGGGGAAATTGGAGAAAGGGGCGAAGGTTGGGGTGGTCATATAGCTTGTTGTTTACATTTGATTGTACATCATTGTGTATACTGCTCTAAAGGAGGGCAAGGAAATGTTAAATCACGTCTGACAGCTAAGAGATTGACCACGCCCTGCTCTGGTGTGTTGGGGAGCTTTGGATAGTGAAAGCTAATGAGCAATCATTACAGGCGGTCTACTTTGTGTAATTACAATCACATGCTTGCTGTTTGGGGACATTCTGTGTACAGCGAGAAAGTATTGTAATTCTGGTATTGTCTCTAAATGCCTGACAGGATCAAAGAGTCATCTCTAAGTGTATTTGTTGTAAGGAAATACAGACAAATATGTAAAAAAAAAAAACATGATAAACAGCATGACACATGAATACAAACACAGATTGCATGCAGGCAACAAATGCCCCCGCTTTTCACTTGTGCAAATTAGATTTAAAAAAAAGTTGAGTCAAATGACTGTGATTTACACCATGTTATTTTTCTTTGTTAACTGGAATATCAAATGCATAATTAAAAAACTAGAACACTGATTCAGAAACTTTCGTTTAAGATCTACAAAGAAAACAAATTGGACATGAATCTTTATTTTCATCATCGTGCCAAAACACAAATTGCAAACCTGCTTTTAGTGGATAAAAAGAAATGCACCGACACTAACACCCACCCTGCATGTTGCTATTTCCTCAGTGAAATGCTCCAGATTGCTAATTAGCGATAATAACATTCAGTAGTTTGACTTTCATGAGTGGGCGTCACCTTTTTCCAAATGGCACGTGTCTAAATTTAGAATGAAAGTTGCAAAGTCTGAGACTAGCTTTGCTTACAAATCAGTTGGAGGGTTATGCTTCTGCAGTTCTCTAAACAGGAGTAGTATTGCCAGCAGTAATGGAAAGTAACAAAGTACATTTACTCAATTATTGTACAGAAGTACTTTTCAGTATTCCATTTAATGTTCTTTATCATTCTACTTCTACTACACTATATGTTTTTTGACATTCTGCATAATGGGCACTTTCACTGTTGATATTTGAAGTACATTGATAGTACTTTATATTGTTCTGAAAAAGTTCATTGTGCAAAATGAGTACTTTTACTTTGAGTATATTTTGATGCGAATACTTAAGTATAATTTTAAGGACTTTTCCTTGTTGTGGAGTATAAGACAATAATATTTGTACTTAAAGGTCACCTATCATGCTATTTTTAGGCAATAGCATAGGTCTCAGATATATACAAATATATAAAAAACATGTCTATGAAGTGTTTTGCTCAAAATACCAAATAGATCACCCATTCTAGCCATGCCTCATATCCTTCTATTTCATTTCCTGTTTTAAAAGGGCTGATTTTGGGTATAAAGCTTTAAAAAAAATAAAAAAGGAGGGGTCTGAGCTCATGCGGGACCCAGCAGCTACTGTCTAAACTAAATACTGCCGTGATGAAACGCCATATCATGGATTATCAAGGATTATTTCTGAAACAGTTTGGAGCTCAAAGGCTTTCTCTCTTGCCGGTTATACCACAAGGTGAGTTCCTTTTTATTTCCTGCTTCTTCACACACATGCTCTCCAGTACAGGTTAGCTCTGAGTGTTAGCGATGCTAATGTAAACATGCACCGTCGGGCATTGTTTCGATAGCAACGTTTCTGATAGGGCCGTGGGTGTAAAGCCAGCCCACATTTCCGATATTACGTCATATCGGACGCAAATCTGGATCAGCTCCGTTGTAGCCCCGTTTTTAGAGATTTGGGTACGGAGGAAAAGAGAGAGGGTTTTATTTTCTGACGCTGCGTGAGTTCCCTGACACACCAGGGACACATCTTTATGTATAAAAGACATCAAAAAGTGCATTTTGCATGATAGGTCCCCTTTAAGTAAAGGATAATGAGTACTTCCTCCCACACTGATTACCAGTTGGGGAGGAGTCAACAATCCAATGCTTTCCTGTATAAATTGATCAATTTTTGGGCTCATAAAGTATTCATGCAACTCATCAATTTGTTTCCATCTCCATTACCTGTTTGGCTTTGTAGAGATGTTTACAGTGAACAGTTAAACTAGATGGATGTACAAAGTTCTTATCCCTGGGCATGTACTGCATAAACTCCATATCGAATGTATAGCATCTGATCACTTACACCACTTTCCCCCCGCGTCTCTCTTTAACTGCAGTCAAGCTCTCTCTAACTTTTCATAGTTTTACATTCATCCTGCTGTTGTGCAACAATAAAGACTTAAAGTCTAGACCCACTCCTAGGCTCCTGGAAATATCGCATTTAATTAAATTTCATTTTCACAGCAATATTATTTATTTAAATGCTGCACTAAATTGTCTCTAAACCATGTAATGGCTTTCCAGCTGCTATGAGAGCCTCAGCAGTGCCATTAGAGGCGATATCAGGAAACTGGAGTTGTGCCCAAAGGATAACAGTGATTCTCCTCATTTAGTGAATGCTGAGACTCTGAGTCCAAGACATTATGGCCAGTTTGTGCAAGAATGCTGATGTGTGTCGAAAGACAAAGGAAAGGGTTAGGGACTCAGAGCAATTTTCCCGAGAAAGATTATTTTTGATTGTAAACATTGACATTGGGGACTGAGAGTACAAATCACATCATGCACAAGAAGGAGTGTGCATCAAAAACAAATCTTGAATAAATCAGAACGCAAGCTGTTCATTTCCTGTTTGCTTCAACAAATATGTTTACTGGTTTTAACTGAGCTGCCCTTGAGTGCAGGAATATTGCAGTTCCTAAAAAGGTTGACATTTCCCTTTACGGGATTTTCTATCAAACCCAATTCAAAGCCTCAGCTTGTATTGTTTTAAAAAGCAGAGAGCGCCATCCAGTGGTTACCAAGTGATCTACATCTAGTGGTGTTTTTCTTTGTTTCTTTTGTTGTGAGGAAAAGGGATGGTGCAAGCCCTTTGTGAATGTGCTGATATAACACACAAAAGAAAGTCGTGTTTTGTGTCACCTGAAATAATGTGTTACATTGGTTTTGTAAGCCATCTGAGGGGCAACAGAAATAATAAGAGATCCGTAATATAATACTTTCCTTTTCTGCTTTTAATATGTCGAAATGGAATGTCATTTATAGCACGAATACTGTAAACATACAAATATAGTAATAGACACATTATATAAATAAAGCATTTTTAATTGTCAACCAACGAAAAACAACAACAGCTTGACAAATTCTAGAAAGTAGTTAATGTCCCCTCCTTTAATTCTTTGACCTTATGCCTTTTATGGTAATATAAGGAAGTTTAACACTGTTGGTTGATCTAGTCCACACAAACCACAAGCCCTCACTTCCATATGCATGTTGTATCACCTATCTAACCCTGTGCTTCTCTTCTGGCAGAATATCTCCGTCACACCCTGGCGCTCTGATTTGATGCAGTAGCAGTCGGACCTCGCTCCGATGTGATCCAGGATTTCTCTGAGATCTCTTTGCTTCCTGTGGATCAGCAGGACGGAGCAGCCGGAGGGGCGGAGGAGCTCCTCTCTCTCCAGAGACAGCAGGTCAGGGAGGTAATGCTGGGGATCGTGGTCCATCAGCACCAGACTGAAGCCCTCACTGCTCCCTTTATCAAGATCAGTGAGTAAAGAAGGCAACGTTCGGATGGCCTCGGCTGAGCTAGAAGTCAACACCTGGAACTGCAAAGAATACAAGAGAACAGGAAGATGGGTTAGAATCTCTCCTTTAAATGTTCTGTTAAGAGTAGCAAGTTTGCCACTCGACCTCTTTATTTATTATATCCTTAATTTAATCAGGAGTAGAAGACTCATTGAGATTCGAAACACTCAAGACAGACAGCAAAACAAATAAAACACACAAAGACAAATCTAAACAAAAAACAATTTTTTATGAAAGACCTGCAACTATACCTGCTTCCAAATGATTAAGAATCCCTTTCATTGTGTCCCTTGAATAGGACCAGCTTTTGAATATGTACTGTATATGATTTGCAACAGATTCAAAAGAGAGGGCGCAGTATATTGAAATGCCCTTTTTTCCCCCTTCAGTGTGGACTTGGAAGGAGTAGAGTACCATAATTTTCGGAATATTGCGGTTTATATAACGGTGCGGCTAATCTATGTATTTTTACAGCTAACGGCCACTAGGGGACCTCCTAAATCTATGGATTTTACAGGTTACAGTCCACCACCTTTAACTCTATGGGCTCTATGGCCGGTCCGCGCCCCCCACCTTTAAGCGCCGGGCTCCAGCAGGAAAAGCTGGAGGCCGGAAAAGAGTGAGACAGGTAGCGCGCAAAAGCAAAAGTGGAACCGAGAGTGGTACGAGAGACAGAACGAGAGCAAGACAGACAGACATTACGAGAGCGAGACAGTTTGTCACCGTACCACTGGTTGAAAACCACTGCTGTAGATCACTGCCGGTACGTGCGCTGGGAGCGCACCGTTTAAGTTTGAAAGTTGAAAAGTTTGTGTGTCTGAAACGCTATGTGATATAGTACAGTTTACACAGCACAGTACATGTTCTGTAGCTACTATTGCACTAAATGGTAACACTTGAATACGTTATGCAAATATGCAACTTGTTTGTTGAAATGTTAATAAATGGGAGCTTCCTCAAACAGCCATCTCTTTCCCGACAATCCCCTCTGTGCACGAACCCTTACATATGGTAATTAAACATTAAAACACCTGCGGCTTATAGTCCAGTGCGGCTTATATATGTACACATCATTCAATTTAGCTGCTGTGGCTTATATTCAGGTGCGCCTTATAGTCCGAAAATTACGGTAAATCCTGGGATGCAGACCAAGGATAGCATTATATATAAGAATAGTCCAATGGTTAAATCCAGGGGTCACAAGGCAGACCATCCAGGCAGATAATACAGAGAGCATTTCGGGCTTTGATGTTACTAATACATCTCAGTGCATCATGGAAGAGCGTATGCAGGGTTATGCATGTTTATAACATTGGAAAAGTCCAGCACAGACATGATTACAGAATAAATTCAAGCAAAAGCAAGACTTGTTTCTAAAATAAAACCCATTTTTAACAGTATTTCATCAGTTACTGATTGTAAGGCTTGAACGAGAAAAAAGTCATCAACTGTGTTTCCAAAGCACTCGTATTTGAATGTGGTAAATAGAAGAAGCTGATCCACTCTGTGTGTACCTGGGAGTGTTTGAAGCCAGACACCAGAATGATTTCCTCCCCCAGCTCTGCAGTGAGGGGGTCCAGCTCCACTGTGATCAGTCTGCCAGCAGGGGGCAGCAGACGCAGCAGGCGCACAGAGCTGTACCCACAGTGCATCCCCAGCTCCAACACCAGGGGGGGGCGGACCCGCTGCACCACCTCCTCCAACACCCCACCTGACAGAGAGGACAAGGACCAGGCTTCACGATGACTTCAGGAGCCACAGGTCCCCGTTAGAGACACTCACTGCATAGATACAATAATAATACATCAAATATAAAATATGTGCGGTGTTTTTGCTGCACATATTTTAAATTGTATTCCATTCTATTTCAATGTAAATACTTTTTTAAAAAATTGTTATTATAGTGTTCTTAAAATTATTCGCTACTATATTTACTTTTAAGTATGCACCACGTGACCAAGTCAAATTCCTCATACGTGTCAACCTACCTGGTAATAAACCAGTTTCTGATTCTGATT